CCACAGAGCGCGGCTGCGCCCTCCCACATTGGCCTTTGCGTGCGGCGCCATTGTCGTCGCCATCGCTCGCCCCGCCGCAGTTGACGCTGTCGCCGCGAGCTTCGGCCGAGCGAATCCAAGCGCAAGGGTGGCCCCGACTGGCGCGAGATGCCGCCGATAGAGGTTAACACCGTCGCAACGTGCGCCCCTATAGGTGTCCAGAATTTCCTGGCAACGCCTTTTGCTGCGGCGCGAAGATTTCGTTTGCTGGCCAAGCCCCCTGATGGCTGCAGGGGGAACGCAGCCCCAGCCCACATCCATGCATCACCCTCCTCGTGCACAGTAGTTCTGTCTTGTCTGCGCAGCCACTGTTGTTGCCAAGGCGCCCGAGGATCGGGGCTGCATCCAAGGGCATCCAGGCGCTGCCAGGATGCATTTGGTGCCTCCAGGTGTCGTCAGTCAGTCGGCGCCGTCGCATGCGCCCATGGCGCCTTCATTGGCGCCGCCGCCATGCCGCCAGGGCCTGCGGGCGGCCGCTGCGGCGTCGCTCCTGCGGCGGCGCGGCGCCAGCGCGCCGCGGGGAGGGGTGGGGGGCGGGGGGACTGGGCGCCCGACCTCGATGCCACCCTCGCCAATCGAACCGTCGCCGCCGCCCGCGATGCCATTGCTGGGCGCGCGCAGTGGGGCGGGAATCCGATGGCGGTCGCTCGGTCGCGCTCGGGGTCGGCCCAGGCGGCGCGGCGCGCCGCGCGCCGCGCGGGCGCCCGCATCTTCGCGCGAATTGTCCGCCAAACGCCGAGGCAATTTCTCGTCGGCCCCGCCGAACGGTGAGCGGTGGCACGGGCAACGCCGAGGGCGTCGCCAAGCTGCGTTGCTTAATGGTGGGGCGCTCGCACCGCGCGCTTCAGTCTCGACCTCGGCGGCCGTCGCCTTCCCCTGCGCGAACGATCGCGCCGCGTGCCAGGCGGTAGCGACGCCTCCTGATCGTCAGTGGTAAGCGGTGGAAGCGGGCGGTCGCGTATGCGACAACGTCGCTGTCACGCCGCGCACTGCTCCGTCGGGGAATGGGGTTGCGGCCGCGGGACACCATGCGCCGACGTGACGCCACATGGTGTGCCCTGACCAGGGCGACCATTTCTGAAATTCCCAAAAAGGTGACACCCCGAGTGGCCAGGTCCGTTTTGGCGCCCAGAAGTCCAGTTTGTACTACAACGTACTTACGCCGCAAATCCAAAAAATGGTGACACCCCGAGTGCCACGCGGCGGGCGACCATTTCAGAAATTCCAAAAATGGTGACACCCCGAGTGCCCAAGGACGCACACCACGACCCGTGCGGGCGATGCATGGTGAGCCGCGGCGCGCACATGGTTTGCCTATGCCGACCACCATGGCGCTCGGCCAACCCAACAGCGCTCGAACAGTGTTTTGCAATTGTGGCGTCACACGCGCGAAGGCCATGTGCTTACATTTGTTACCCAAGAGGCCCACTGTGCCTCGCAATTTTGCAAAGTCCCCCCCCCCCCCCTCCCCCACCGCGATCGCGCGGCCGCGCCGCCCATCGGGCCTTTGATTGCAAACACTGCGCATCGCGCTTGGGAAGGGCGCGCTGGCGAGCGCCGAGCGCGGCCAACGGGCGGGGCGCGTCGGGCTGACGGTTTTCCAATATTGGTAGTTGCGGCGCCGTCGCGGTTCTGGCTTCCACTTGGCCGCGGCGCCACCTGGAGGTTCGTCGCATGGCCGCGGGGCCCATCCCTTCAACGTTGGTCAGGGGGCGGGCTGCGTCTCGCGAAGGGCCCCAGCGCTGCCCATGGCGCCAGCGGGGCAACTGCCCCAAGTCTTCGGGGCAAGGTGCCGAGGCCGCAAGCGCGCTGTTGTAGTCGCGCGGTCGCGGCGCCAAGCGCGGGCGAATCTTCTCGATCGGGGCCTCCTGCTGAGCGAGCGTCGGTGCCGCGCGCCCGCGCCCGCTGCGAGCCGCTCGGCGATGGCGGAAGTTGCGGGCATCGTGGGCATCGCAACCGCCCGCGGCTAGGGCGCGGCCGCGCGCGCCCAGCCCCCGCGCCCTTGCGCGCCTGCGTGCCCCGACGCGGCCCAGCGATGGCCTGGCAGCAGAAGGCGGCGCCCAAAAGCGGCAGCACGGTCACGCGCGTGAGTCGACGCCCCCAAGCACCCACCTGTACCATCAGGGCTTTGGGCGTCGGGCGACGGGCCCCTGCGCTGGCGCTCGCGGCGGAGCGCGCAAGCCCCGCGCGTTGGACAAGCGGCGCGCGGCATGTCGGTCTGCGCGCTGGGCCGCAGACTTCGGTCGCGCTGGCAACGCGGCATGCTGAGTGGCCTGTTGGCAGTGCGGGCGCGCCGCCAAGGTGGGGTTCGCGACGGCGCTGCGCGGCCACATGGGCGCGCGGCTGCGCCCGCCCTCGCCATCCGCGCCCCCCCCCCCCCCCCCAGCCATCTGAAGTGCGGCAGGCGCCGTCGCGGCTTCGATTCCCGCGGCCCAGGGCGGTGGCATTGCGCAACCAATGTGGGGTGCATCGCATGCTGGGCCCCGCAAGCTTGCAACGTTGGAGCCCGCCGCGTTCGATCTGTCCGAAGCGATTTGGCGCATGGGCCACGCTTGCTGCCCCGCGCCTGCTGGGCTTTTGCCAGCTGGGGTCTGTCGTCGTCGGACATCGGCCGCGCGCGGTGCATGCCCGCTGCGCTGCGCGATGGGCTTTCGGGCGCAAGTTCATCGCAACTTCGTCGCGGGCCGCAGTTCGGGTTCGGGCTTGCCTTGCGCGCGGCGCCGTTGCTGTGAGGCTGCTGCGCGGCACTCCGCTGGCGCGCGGGGCGCGCCGCGCGGGCGCTTCGGGGGCGGGCGGCGCGCGCTGGGGGGCCGCGCCCACGCGCAACTCGCGCCCGCTGCCCACCCGCATTCGCCGCAGCCCTCTCGCGCGCCGCCGCCGTCAGCGCGCGCGCGGTGCCATTTCCGCTGCCGCGCCTCCTGCTTGCTCCGCCGCGCGCCGCTCCACAACCCCCCAGACTCGCCAGCGCCGCCGCCGCCTCGCCCTGCACCGCGCCACCCGCCCACTTGCTACATCGGGGCGCGTCTACAACCGCAGCCCGCATCACTATGCAGGCCCCGTGGCGCGTAATCAAGCCCTCGGACCCCTGCGCAAGGGTTGGTTTTCGCGCGCGCGGCAGCGCGGGGCGCGGGCCAGCTGCAATGGGGCCCGAGCTCGTTGTTAGGGGTTGCGCGGCCCTCGGCATCGTGGCCGCTTCCATGCTGCGCGGCATCGGGCCTCAGCCTGATGCCTTGGCGGGGCGCGCAATGGCGCTGCACTGTGGGGGGCGCGCGCGGGGGCTAGCGCGCGCGCGCGCGCCCGCCTTTCGCAACGTGGCGCGGTGCTTTCGGCGCGAACGCACGTCGTGTTTGGCGCGCGGCGCGGCGGGCTGGCGCGCGCGGGCACGCGCGCGCTCGCGTCTGGGTTGCGCGCGGATAATGACAGGCCGTAGGGGGGGGGGGGGGTCGGGTGGTGAGGGGAGAGGGAGGCGGCGTGCTTGTAGTGGCGGTGGTGGGCGGGAGGGGTGGGGGTGGGCTGGGGGCGGGTGGTGCGGCGCGGGGCAGGGGGATGGGGCGGGGGGCGGGGGCGGGCGGGCGCGCGGTGGTGGTCGGAAAGTACGGGCGGGAGATCAGGCGCGAGGTGGCGGGTGGAGGGCGGGGAAGGGATGGATGGGGGGGGGGGGGGGGAGATGGCGCGCGCGCGCGCCAGCGTGGGGATGGGTTTGACGGGGTGGCGTGGTCGAGTGGTGCGCGCATTGGTTGTCGGGCGGCGGCGGTGGTGGTGCGGGTGGTTTGGGGAGTGCAGGGTGGGTGGGTAGGCGCGTGGGAGGGGGGTGGTCCCTTCTGGCCACCTAAGATGCACAGACGAAGACATCGCGTTGCGCGCGGCTGCGTTTGTCGTAGTTGCGCCATGCCAGAATGTTTGTAATTCGCGTCCAAACGCGGCGGGTGTGTATTTAATTGCTGCGCGTTCATCATATTCGTGCGCACCAGCATCACACGCACGTGTGCCACATCAGTGCCCCGTCGGCAGTCTTTGGCCTGTCGGGCACCAATATAAGCGCCAGGGCCAAATCTTAAGTTGTCGACGTTTCGCGCATCCCCGGCAGCCCATCCAACGCCAGGTGCTCGAAGAAAGAGCGCCTATCATCGGCGGTTGTTGTCCTACTCATCCTCATTATCCTCTTCCTCCTGGTGGCGTCTTGGAAATAATTTGAAGCGTTTTGGTGGGCGCTTGGGCCTTGCGGGCGGGCGGGCGGCGCTCCGCCCGCCCGCGCGCAGGGCCCAAGATAAGGGTCCAAAACGTCTCTTGGGGCCTTTTTGGGGGGCGCCGATCACAGAAGCGGGGGGCTTCTATTAGCCCTGCCCCTCGGGGGCCTCCCCAAGTCGCCTCTCGGAGCGTTCTGGGGTCGCTCTGGTGCGCTTTTGGGAGCTTGTGGGGTCGTTTGGGGGCTCTCTTGGGCCCGTGTTGGGTATATGTTTGGCCACGTTGGAACTATCCTGAGGCCTCGGGTGGGCGTCGGAAGCGAAACGGCGAGAACGCAGCACATGTTGTTGTTTCCGTATGGTGTTGAAGCAGTTTGGCTTACTGGGGGCCTCATTAGGGAACTCGTTTGGGCATTTGGAGCAGTCTCGGGGCGGTCTTGGAGCGTCTTGGGGCATCTTCGGGGCCATCTTGGTGCACCTTGCGCTACCTTGTGCCATCCTCGAGGCTATCATGGGTTCCCTGAGGCGCTCCTGGGGCCGCCAGGGGCCATCTTGGACCCTCTAACTACCCGCGTCCCCCTGGCCATGTCCATGGGGTGGGGGGTCGGGGGAGGGGTCGACCCCTTCCCGAAGGGGAAGAGGGAGGGGTGGAAGAGGAACCTCCCCAAACCATCGACGCCCAGCAGGCTGGTGGCCCCCCCCATAGGCGTCTGGCTCACGCGCTCGGCAAAGCCTTGCACCGCGCTGCCCAGAGATCCGTGATCCCCCTTTGATTCAATGGAGTGTATCTTGGCAGGCAGTTTGAACCTGGTGGTGTCATGTCCACATTTGCCTTCTTCGCTCGAGCAGAAAATTGAGTTCGAATTGCCGACAACAGTACTTGTCATCGGAGCTAAACCTGGTCCCGTGGACAATCAACAAGGAGTGGCGCAGGAGGCAACTGGCGAGGCAGCGCGCGAGCACCAAGGCACCATTGCCCCGCGTGGTGATGATGATGTGGCAGCGGAGGAGCCTTTCGAGTACTCCCATTCAGATTACTGCTGCCAGATTGACTCGTGCGCCAGAGTCGATGCATTCATTGCTGGCCGCATACCTCCTCCGCCTACTCCGCCCGCTGTGGTCGAGCAAGACGCGCCCGTCATCGAGGCAGTGGGCAAGTGCCCGACGGAGCTGGCTGCTGTCAACCAACCGGGTGCGGCGCCCCAGCGCCGTGAGGAGCCGCCGCTGTCACCAGTTGCGCGTCTTTGCGAGCAGTCCACCGCGGGAGCTGCGGCCGACGCCAGCGAGGGCTGGCGCAGTGGTACGCCAGCGCCTTCACGCTCGAGCGGAAACGGTGGACCCGTTCCCATAATTGATGTAGATTTAGATGAAAGTCCTCCTATGGTTTCTGTCCGACCTCGCCTTCGTGTTAGTGAGTTTCACGGGAAGGTCGCTGTTTTTCCTAATGGGCTTGCTGAGCGCCAGAGCACCCCGTCCAAGGCTCAGAGCTTGGAGGCGTTTGCCAACACGCCACCCAAGAAATCGCCAGCGGCTGCCCAGGGAGAGCCACCGCCCAAGCGTCGCAACTGTAAGCTCAGAGATCCGCCCTTCAGCGGTGAGAACAGTGGTAGCGGCGTGGTCGGTGACAAAGCCACCAGCCAGTCAGAACCTAGGGTCCGTTGTTTCTTCGGGCAGCTGCCAAGACTCATCGCAGCTGTGCCCGATGGAGGTGCTTAACCACCAGCTGGTGAGCACCAGTTGAATTATTCGGGATTTCTTTCAGGGGTAGGGCGTCAGACCGCCTCATTTTTGAGCCAGGCACGTAGGCCAATATGGCAAGCCGGAGCCATAGGACGGCGTGATGAACGGTGTGATGATGGCGACCACGACAGATGATCATACCTATGATGATGGCGATAGGCGCGATGACGATAGAGACGGCGACCATGTTCACGTTTCAATTCGAGGGCCCTTCAGGGGATGTCTGGGTTGTTTTAAAGTTTCGCGGGTGCTTGCTGTTGAGTTCGCTGGGTCTTCCATCAGGCCGACGATATATTCAGCGAGCGGTTCTCAACCTTGTACGTTTGCTAACATTTCTGGTGCGTCCGAGGGGCTCGGCCGATGAAGGGTGACATCGAAAGGTGTCCACATATCACTCTCCAGCGTTGTGCTCACTATCGCTTTCTTTCGCTTGCTAACGTCATCTGCCCTGTCATCGCCCACCTTCCTCACCTCCTCTCCTCGCGCCCAACATCTTCCGCGCCTCCTCTCTTCTCTCAAGCAATGCCTTACCCAGTGTTTCTCCTGTCTCTGGACTCTCTCTTGCCCGACTCACGTCAGCAGAGCAAGCTATGCGGTTCAGCCTCGCATTTGTTTTCGTGACTGTTTGTTGGCGCCGCCGTCAGCGTCGATTTCCAAGTCCGCCTCTCTCTGCAGTCGGTGCTTGCAGCCTCTCCCCCCGCCTGCCTTGCCGCCGCCGCTCGTGAACGCCGACCCCCGATCTGAGAGCGCCCGAAGCTCGACAGTTCAGGCGCGCCCAACGCTCCCACGCTTTTGCGAGAGAGGCTCGGGGGATGGGGGGGGATCGACTGGGGGAGGGGGGGGCCCCTGTCCGCGCCAACCGCTGCTAATCACATGTGTTTGGGGGTCGGGGGCCGATTCATCGGATGCAGATGTCTGGCCTTGTGTTGGGTGGCCCCTGGGGCTTTGAAGTCCAAGGTGTTTCTGGTTCGGGCCCCGCCCCCTATCGCAGATCACAGGCAGGGATGTCATCAGGTCGATTGGAAGTTGGGGGCGCCGTGCCACCGTCGCAGTAGTTGCCTGGTAGATTGGTAGCAGCTGGCGTAGGCGCAATCGCACTGGTAATAATGTAATGAATAGGTGCCGTACTAGGCATGACTGCATGCTCGGCTGCAGACATCGTACTATGCTATGCAGACTATGCATTTTGGAGCGGCACGCGTCGAATAAGTAATCCAATGCCCGCGGTTATGGTCATATTGGCGGTAGCAGCGCCAGCCATCCTAAGATTCGTTGCAAGGTCTGTTGCGGTTGTGGTTGCGACGATGATGTTACATTCTGGGCCACTGCAAGGTTGAAACCAATGTTGTGCTGGCATAAGGTCGCAGCAACGGCAAGTCTGGTCGTAACTGTGGCAGTACCAGTGGTCTAGCATGCAGATGGGGCCAGTGTCCTCCTCCAGGCCGATTGCTATTTCATTCGTTTCCAGCGTCCCAATAGGTGTTCTATTCGCCGTGGGATTGAGGGTGGTGGCCCACGAAGGTGATTGAGTGTTGTAGATGCCCCAAATGAGCTAGCTGGGCGAGGAACCCCTAACGTATGCAGTAGTGAATACAGCAACTGTGAATACCGTCTACGGTGGAGACCCCTATGGGGCCACGGCCCTCGTGAGAGGTGTGCCGAAATGGGGCGGGGCTGCCATGCGAATCATGCCACTCAGGCCATCAGTGGGGCTCCCTATGGGGCCACCAGCCTCGTGAAGGGTGTGCCGACATGGCCCGAGGACGCCACGCGAACCCTGTCGTTGGCGCCTCTGGTGGAATTCACATGGGGCCACGATCCGCGTGAGGGATGTGCCGACATGGCCCGAGGACGCCATGCGAACTCTGCCACGCGGCGCCTTCGGTGGAGTTCCCATGGGACCACGATCCTCGTGAGGTGCGTGTGCCGAAATCGGGCTGGGTCGCCATGCGAACCCTGCCACTGAGGCATTCGGTGGAGTTCCCATGGGGCCACGATCCTCGTGAGGGGTGTGCCGAGACGGCCTGGAGGTACCATGCGAACCTTGCCACTCAGGCCTTCGGTGGAATTCCAATGGGGCCACCATCCTCGTGAAGGCTGTGCCGACATGGCCCGAGGCCGCCATGCGAACCGTGCTGCTGGAGCCTTCGGTGGAGTTCCCATGGGGCCACAATCCTTGTGAGGGGTGTGCCGACCTGGCCCGAGGCCGCCATGCGAACCCTGCCATTGGAACCTTCGGTGGGGCCCCCATGTAGCCACGATCGTTGTGAACGCTGTGCCGAAATGGTCCGAGGCCGCCATGCGAACCCTGCCACTGGGGCCTTCGGTTGATGCCACTGGTCCTTGTGATGTGTGTGCCGACGTGGCCCGAGGCCGCCATGCGAACCCTGTCGTTGGCGCCTCTGGTGGAATTCACATGGGGCCACGGTCCTCGTGAGGGATGTGCCGACATGGCCCGAGGACGCCATGCGAACTCTGCCACGCGGCGCCTTCGGTGGAGTTCCCATGGGACCATGACCCTCGTGAGGTGTGTGCCGAAATTGCCCGAGGCCGCCATGCGAACCCTGTCATGCGGGGCTTTGAGTGGAGTTCCCATGGGGCCACCATCCTCGTGAGGGGTGTGCCGACGTGGCCCGAGGCCGCCATGCGAACCTTGCCGCTGAGGCCTTCGGTGGAGACCCCATGGGGCCACGATCTTTGTGAGGTGTGCGCCTACATGGCCCGAGGCCGCAATGCGAACCGAGGAGGTGGAGGGGGCGGAGGAAAGGAGGGGAGGAGAGGAACGCGGTGCGCCGTCTCTTCGACCAGAGAACCCAACACCACATGATGGTTGGACACGCGACACCAAGAAGTAGATGCATAACGATCTCCTTGGCTTTCGGTACGCAACGGATGGGTGAACACTGTTTTGGGTCAGAATCCCGTTACCTCCCCCTCCCTGACTCGCCCCCCCCCCCCCCCCCCCCCCCGTCACGCGCGCAAGAGTTGGAGAGGGGGCGTGGCCTACTGGGGCTCCCAGCCAGCAAGCGGCTAGACGCCTGCTGGCTTCCAGAACCGCCCTCACAGGGGCCTCCTAGGGCCTGGGTCATCAACTTTATAACGCAACCTCCTCCTCCCCTCCATGGGTCTATCCTGCCTTATCCCCCGTTTCCTCCACCGCAGCCATTTGGGCTCGACATCGAGGCGCCCTGCGATTGAGGGCGCTACGCTACCACTCGACGCACCAGGATTTCGGCGTCGCCCCCGAGACTGCATCAACGGGACTTTCTCCGATGGCTGAGAAAAGGGCCGCAGGGTTCTTACGAAGGCGGTGGGTCTGCCAGGGGGCGGCGATGCGCCAGTTTCCAGCGGCGTGAGCGTCGCCAGCGGTGTCAGCGCTTTGACATTGGCGGCTCCAGTCGGCAGCAGTCGAGCGCATAAGCGAGGTGCTCAGCAGAGGCTGCAGGACGTGGCGACTCGCCAGGCGAAGGCTGCTCGGCAGGCGCACACCGTCTGTGGCATCCACGGTTGCAACAAGCGCCTCAACGCTTCCGACAAGAGGAGTGCGGTTATCTTGTGCGGTGACCACCTCCGGACCTACACCCTTGGCTACATGTACTTGAATGACGAGACCGTGTGCCAGATGACCGAGAGCGACCACGCCTTCAGGTCGTGCTTCGAGACGGCGCACCAGGAGAGGACGCAGAATCAGATCAAGCCCCCCAAGTGCCGCACCGACGTCGATGTTGTCACCTCGCAGCGCGCGACCTGAGAGAGGCGGGCGGGCTTTTGGACGAGAAGCGACATCTGGGAGAAGCTGGGTTACATGCCTGAGCAGCTCAGCCACAAGAGCCAGAAGCTATGGAACGAGAAAGGTGAGGAAGTCTGGGCCGTGCTGACGGACGAGACAGAGGGCGCCCCCCGTGTATTCGTCCTCTCGTGTTCGAAGGCCGTCCAGAAGCAGGAGACGAAGTCCTCGGCCTCCGCCACCATCCACGCCGACCAGCCCGCGAAGGTCTACGAGCACTCGGTGGGTTCCTTGAGGTCCGAATGGGCGCCGAGCGGTGCCCCGATCATCTCGATGAAGGCCCTCGTCGAGCGGGCCGTCAAGAAGAGGGATGCCGACAAGAGGAAGGGCATTCCCGTCGATGATGATGATGGGGTGGCTGGGAGGAGGGGCCCAAGTCGCACCAATGCCTTCCAACCGTGGCCTCATCCCTGTGCACCCCGAGAGTTTCTGTAAGCTAATGGTGGTGGGGGCACGTAGGGCGGCGTTGGTGCAGTTTGGATCTCGCCTTCAGGTGGGCGGCGCTCTAGGCGATGAAGGTCTTGAGGGCGCGCCTGCGGATTGCGATGATCCGAGCAGAGACCCTGCCGCAGCACTGCCTTCGGCTTCGCTTGCGGCCTGCCCTGCTGCTCCGGTGAGGCCGAGCGTGGGTGTCAAGTCCGATGGCCCCTCTCCCAGCCCTGCAGCACGGCGTGGTCGTTTGGCTTGTGCTGGCCTCGGCGCAGCGACGAGCGTGGGCGACGCGGACGGTCTTGCTGCTGATGTCGCCGAGCTCGCGCAGGCAGACCCCGTCAAGGCAACGTGGCAGCTCCAGATCGCCAAGGTGAGCCATTCGCAGGCTCTCATGGGATCGGCCCTTGGCAGACAGCGGAGCACGCTGAAGGGCTACGCGGCCGAGGCGGATTCAATGGGCCGCTCTGAAGGGGCCCCAATGAGGGAGCGCGTCGAGCTCACTGCCAAGGCCGAGGCACTCGCCTCGGAGAACGGATGGTTCAGCCTGCCGAGGTCCGAGCTCTGTGAGATCTTGCAGAGCCTCAAGTACAAGGGCGTCGACGTCCCCACCAAAGCCAAGAACGATTGCACTGCTAGGGCGCTCCAGGACTGGTCGCAGAGCACGGATGGTCTTGAGGAGAAGGTCGCCGAGCTCATCGACATCGTCCAGGCTTGGCCCCAGAGCTCCGACGGTGAGAACACGTCTGATCCATTGAAACCCCGTCTCCGCCACATCGAAGGCTCCCCGAAGGACTCGATGACCTCGATGTACGACAATTTGTTGAGGAAGGTTGTCATCCCGCTCATCAAGGACGGTGCCAAAGGGTTCGACGCTGTGGTGCGCGTGATCAAGACCGTCATCGGCCTGGTCACGGTTGCCTCCGATGACGAGAACCTCAACTTCGAGCCGTGCGAGGACGCCGCGGACGAGATGTGCTCGATGCTCCGCGGCATCGCCATGATCATCCAGCCCGACGTTGCTGAGCAGAGGAAGATATTGGCCACCAATCGTGACTTCGATCGGGTCCAGTCGATCTCTGCGAACATGCGTGTAGGTGACATCAACACCATAGCAACCATGAAGCAGAACAGCCATTATAAAGGCATGCTCGCTGGATATATTCGGTGCCGTCCCCACTATGAAGACATCATGCCTCGCTTGCTAGACGTCGAGAAGAAGCTTTCTGTGTTCGGTAGCGCCGGCAACTTTCAGGAGAAGTTCGGGATCCTGAAGCTTGGGTGGCAGGTGACGCTGGACGCAGAGGGCAAGGCGCGGGCTGCCCAGATGCAGCATGTGTCTCACAGCCTCGAGGCGTGCACCTTGGACGTTCTGAAGAAGGTTGCGGACGAGATCGAGGAGCAGGTCTTTGACGAGGCGGACGCCACCGGCCTCAAGGAGCTGATCGACACGTGCGAGACTGTGAAGTTGGAGTTCCCGTGCGCCCGCCAGCTCAAGTCGTGCGTGATCGCATTGGGACAGAAGCAGATTGTCTCTGGCCACGTGAAGTCGTTCGTGGAGGCTCTGACGTCTTACCGACGCGCAGCCACGCGGGAGAACCGTCTGGCGGCAGCGCGCAGCATCATGGGGATGACTACCACCTACAAGGACTTCGGCGTGCGTGAAAAGAACTCTGAGCTCGAGGACGCGATCTATGGATATGTGAAACAGGCGCTCGCCCACCTTGGCAAGGGCGAGGACACCCATCTGACAGAAGCCACCTGCAACTTCATGATGACTCAGTGCCAAGTCTGCTCTGGCCTGATCGGGATCATCACGGACCTCTCCACGGAAGGGAAGAAGAACAAGATGGCTGTGGAGGCCTTGGCCAATTTGCATTGGGAGCTCGCGAGCATCTACAACTACATTGCCTCAGTCAACGACATGCCGAGCCGCGCGGCCAACGACAACGCCTCCGAGGGCCTGAAGCGCTTCGTGATGGGGAGGGCTGCCTTGAGTCAGGCCGGGAGGGGGGCTCCAGGTTGGGTGAGCCCTGGCCCAACCAGATCAACGCTGTAGACTGTCTTGGAATAGGTGGGTGGGGAGAAGAGGGGCGCGCAGTTCAGAGGTGGGTTGAATGAGGAGGGAGAGTGGTGATAGGTAAGGAGGACAGGTAGGACAAAGGATGAGCGAGGGGAGACTGATGTTGAGGAGAAGGGCGAGCAAGTTATGGGATGCAGTCGGGGGTCGAGGAGTGGGGCCCTTCTCAGGGATGTCTTCAGCGCTGCCTGGTTGGGTAAGGTTTTGCGGCCAACTGAAGCCCCCCCCCCAAAAAAAAAAGGCAAAGGACACAATTGGCCTCGAATTCTTCGACCGCTGGGTGGAAGAGGTCGCCGCGTTTGCAGCGGAGGCGGGCGACTTGCATTGCAGCTCTGCCCTTGACTCGGCAGCCGAGGCCGTCGGCAAAGTGGCGCGAAGCATGATCTTCGGCTGCGACGATGGTTTATGGCACGCCGGCCTCGAGAGGGCATCCGCGTCGCTGTTCGCCAACTGCCGCCCGAGCAGCCTGAAGAGCGAGATTGACCTGGTGGGCTCCAAGGTTTCGGCGGCGAAGGCCGCCTTCCAGCTTCGCGGCGACGCCGACCTCGCGCGCGCCAGCGCGATGCTTGAGATTGAGGGCGCGCTCGACCGCATGAAGATCACCTACTTCGAAGGAATGGCCTTCGTGATGCTGCGGGGCAATGCATCGGCGCCGCTGAAGCTCAAGCGGGGCCTTAAGACGTTGTTCGCAGGCCTCCCCGAGCAGCTCGTGGCGCACGTGCCGAAGACGCTCCTGGCTGAAGCCCAGGACAAGGCTGGCCTGAAGAAGTGAACGCCCTGGCGCTGGCTGTCACGCGCCTCCTCCTCCTCTTTCTCTCCGACCTCTCCGCCCCCCCCCTCCTCCGCCTCCTCCTCCGCCTCCTCCTCCTCCTGCGGGCGCCCTCTGCCTGAGAGAGCCAGCGCGATGAGGTCGGTCTTCGCGCGATGAAGATCGCGCGGCACAGCCGCAACCCGCAGCCCCCCCCCCAGGGAAGATATAGGTGAACCCGACGAGCACCCCCAACAATGCGAAATCAAACAATGTTTGTAGTGAATGCTGCGGGTTCGAGATTTGTTGGTGGCACGCACGCGCCTGTTCCGTAGTAGAGGCCACGTAGGTGGCATCATGCGAGCCACCGCCACTGTCATATCGCCATCCCTGCCCCTGTCCTCCTCATCCTCTTCCTCCTCTCCTGTGTCCCGCTTCGTGGTTTTACGTTGCTCGCTGCATGGCCTAACTTGTCTAATTGCGTGTTTCGTTCATTCGAGTCCCCATGTGTACGCAGAAGGGGGTCGCCAAACCCTTCCCTGGCATGGTTTGGGGCAGGGGCCTGTCCACGCCTCTGGCTAAATCGAGGGGAAGAGAACGACTGCGAGGGTGGATGAATGATGGGCGGACGGGGGGAACTAAGAGCCAAGGTACGGGAGGGGGGGATACAAGGAAACGACTGGAGGGGTGAGGAGAGTAGACAACGCTGAGGGCCAACAACATATGGGGCGGAAGGGCTGAATATTAACACGGCAGCGCGGGAACGAGGGACTGGGCACGGCGGGGGGGGGGCACGCGAGAGGGAAAGGAGCGTCAATACATGGGCGATGCGGAAGAGGAGGAGGACAGGGAGGAGGAGGATAATGACAAGGAGGACAGTGCGGAAACGCCGACTGCGCCGTGTCTCCCGCCATGCTGCGACAATCCGCGATCGCTCTGCCTCCACATCAGCCCCCTCTCCTTCATCCTCCTTCTCGCCCTATTAGCCTCGAGCAAAGTCGGCCCCGATGTTCGGGATCGCGCGCCTTTGCGCTATAGCCTAACGGCTCTTGGGTAGCGGGGCCGTTTACACATCAACCGAAACAAACATTTTGGCGACCATTCGAGATGCTATTTTTTTTCGCTTGTTTTGGGCGACCATTTGGGCGACCATTTGGGCGACCATTTTTTCTGGCGACCATTTGGGGAACCATCTGGGGAACCATTTGTGAACCATTTCGGCGCCCCCAGCCCCGTGCGCCACATGCCCATCACAACACTGGGGGATCCTCCTGGGCCCCTTGGGGAGATCCCCAGCAAGACCCACGCGTGCGACGAGTCTCTCCTGAACGACAACCCGGACTTCAAGTGGGTCGACGTCGTGCTGGAGCACCTTCGGGGCCGAGGCCCTCTGGCCGAGCCGATCGCCGACGTAGACTACGCCAGAGGGACGGCCCGCTTCAGGGCCGCCGTGGCCGACCTGCCTCTCGGGCCTCTCCTTCCCGCGACGATCTACCAGATGCGCCGCGGCGGGGCCTCTCACGAGATCCACTCTGGTCAACGGGGCCTGCTGGGCGTGAAGAAGAGGGGGCGCTGGGTTTCCGACGCCTCGCTGCACCGCCACGTGAAAGCCGGGCGCCTCAACGAGCAGGTGCACCGACTCGACCGGGTCACTCAGCTCGCAGCCAACCTCTGCGCGGAGCGCATTGGCTCAGTGATCCTGCAGCCACCCCTCGCGCGGCAGCTCCTCGCGGGGGCCGGTTTGCCTTGGAGTTGTTCGCCGGACAGGCCCGCTGGAGTGCGGCCTGGCGATCGTGTCGGGCCTTGTCGGGGATCCCAGTCTTCTCAATTGACATCCGCGCAGGACCCCGCCATGATCTCAATGGTTCCCGTTTATGTCGTCTTGTCCGGGGGTGGGTTCGGGCGGGCCTCGTTGTGGGCCTCTGGCTGGGTGCCCCGTGCACTGCGTTCTCGGCTGCCAATCGGGAAAGATGGCGTGCCGCTCTTCATCCCGAAGGTGTTCCTGGGCTCTCTCCTCGGGTTCTGGCACGAGTTCAGGCAGGTAATCATCTCGCCCATTTTTCAGCGGGCCTGTTCAGGCTTGCTCGTTCCCACGGCATCCCGGTGACCATCGAAAACCCTCGCACCAGTCGGCTTTGGAACCTCCCGAGCTGGCAGCAACTTCTGAGGCTTCCTGACGTCGAAACCACCGTGACGGAAGCGCACCCGTTTTGTCTCAGCTAATGTACACTTTGCACATCTTCAGCGTCTCTGTGCTGGCCGTAAAGTATGTGAGTTTAATAGTCGACCTCATATCGTGCTGCAAGGGCATGATCAGTCGGGCCGGCACCGTGCTCTTCAGGCTGGGCCATGCCCGCCGCAGTTGTGTCGGCAGCTCGTCAACGCGTTCTCCTCCGTTATCTGGTCTACTCTCTCTAAGCAATGGAAATATCGAAGGGGCTGCGGTAATACCAGGGCTTATCTTTGGAAGAAAAAGGCGCTTTGGGTTTTCAGGCTGTCATGTCTATCCTGTCCAGCCCGTTTCTCTTCGAGTGTTGCGTCCAGTACTCGTGCAGGTAAGCTCTTGGCACTCGCAGCGCACAGATCGAATCAGCGTACTGATGAGGAAAACTTCCTGGCCTGGCAGTATCCCCGAACCTGGAACATTGACGCTTGTTCACATGCTATTGTTCTCTGGAGGGTGACACGTGAAGGCCGCTTCTCGCTTCGTAACCGTTCTGGCTCCAAGCACCCGCAGACTCCGTTTTCATGCTTTGCGCTTTGCCTCCCCGAACCTCCCTCTCAGCCGCCTTTTAAGGGCGAGAAGCTTATCCTGTGTTTGCAGTCTGTCATGTCTATCCTGTCCAGCCCGTTTCTGTTCGAGTGCTGCGTCCAGTACTCGTGCAGGTAAGCTCTCGGCACTCGCAGCACACAGATCGAATCAGCGTACTGATGAGGAAAACTTCCTGGCCTGGCAGTATCCCCGAACCTGGAACATACATATATATATATATATATATAATGTATATATGTATATATGTATATATATGTATATATATATATATATCACGCCGCCACTTTTGGTTTTTGTGCCGCCGAAAAGGGTGCAGGCTCAAATCTCGCTCCGATATGATGCTCCCCACAGGCGGAGCACGTCGTGGTACGGTTCTTCTGTTGTTGCTGGAAGGTGCTATCGGTCGCCCCCATTTCGTTGGTCTTCGGGCATGGCCCATGTCCTCCATGTCGTTGGCCTCTAACTCTTCAATGTTCGGGTTCGGGGGTTCTCGTACTTCGAATCTGCGTTCACGTGGTAGTCGTTCCGGGTAGAGGGGGTTCGATGTGTTTCCGGGCGATAAAACGTTCTCGCGTGGCACGCATCCAGGTGTGCCTGCTTTGTCGCAACACATATCTACAGACACGTGTTTGTCCAACCCATGTTCGCATGGATGGATGAGGAGGAGAAGGAAGAGGCAGGAGTCGAGGAGGAGGAGTCCTAGGAGGACGAGAAGGGACAGGGGGAGGAGGTTGAGCAGTGGCGGCAGATGCTTGTGGGAGACGCAGTTGGTTCTCTGCTCAAGTTCTCCACGCCTGCTGCGGCCAAGGTGACTTCTTGACGCTCGGAACGGCCACGATCCACGTTGGGTGCGGCGTTTGCGTGCGCAGCCGGATCCGAGCGGGTTCATGCCGTGAGCGCACCCGCCGCGCTGCGACCGCGCTTGTACACAACCCGAACCCTCGTTCACCCTCTCCCCGTCCTCCTCCTACGGGAGGCCCCTGTCGCGTCGACGCGGCGCGGCCGCGAGCCTAGGCGCGGGTGTTCGAGGTTGAACGCCGCCAGGGGCCGAGTGTCGGCCGACATGGAAGGATCTGAACGTTCGGAAAGCCACGATCCGCGTGGAGTCGGGTTGGCACTGCACGAACCTGCTGCACCTCCTCTACCCCCTCCCTCGATTTTGTCGTTGGGGGTCGTCTTGGCAGGTTGTGCTCGGGTCTCTAGGTCCCCCCCCAGGATCGTGTCTGCGAGTCCGTAATGCTAGAGGGCGCACTTTTGATGTCCCACGAGGAGGAGGGAGATGAAGGAACGACGGAGGAGGGAGGCTTGTCGGCAGTTTGGAGACAGGGAGGAGGAGGAGGAGGAGGAGGAGGAGGAGGAGGAGGAGGAGGAGGAGGAGGAGGAGGGGCATGACATTCGCTTCGGGGCTGAACTAAAGCTCAAGCACGGTCCGCGGACAGCAACTGACCCCCAGTCCAAGCCTGGGGCGTTGCCAGTTCCGAGTCGGCGCCAAGAACCCTACCCCAGGAGGAGGAGAGGAGGAGAAGGACATGCATGAAACACAACTCGCCCGGGTTAAACGCTGCCCACCTTCTAATGGGCCGTTCCCAAGCAAGAAAAGAAACAATGCAGAACTTCCCCAGAACGGGGCGGAGAATCCCATCCCACCCACCAGTGACCCCCTCCCCAGACAAGAGCAATCCCTGAACGCCAACTTGCAGGTTCGGACTTTCGAGCATGGTGAGACCATGGCAAGACCCGCCAGGGAAGGCCACTTGCTTTCGCCTGTGACCTGGCTGCCAATTCCTTGAACTGTCTGGAGGGAGGAAGGAGTGAGGGGGAAAGACATTAGGACAAGGGAAGGGGAAGGAGATCAAGACTGCAAAGCACTGGGGTAAACTTTCTTCCCACATACTAATGGGCGTCCCCTAGCAGAGCGAGACCTCCGTTCCCCAAAGGGAAGAGAGAATACTAGGGGATTGCTTCGCCAGACTTTCCTGGACCCCTGAAGTAAAATAAACTGGGCTGAATACAGCTGCCCAACTAACGTATGAAGAGAAACTGCAGGTAAGCTACCTGCTTCACAGTTCTGCCGATCTGGCCAAGGAAACAAGACGTGAAGGTAAAAGAACGCTGGGTAGCTGACAACTGTCCTACCCAAACGAAAGGACCAACACAAAAGGATTCTACCAAAACCTGTAGCCGATGAATTATGCTCACTAAGCCAATACTCAAGTTGCCATTTAACCCAAGATGCAATAAACATTCTGCC